GTTGATGGGGATCCTAGCACCAGAAAGAACTTAAACCTCAATGTATCATTCGGGCGACCAACAGCCCTCGTCGATCTTACTGAACGACGCGTTTCTTCTGTTTAATTGATAACCCTATATGACAAGCATTATTCAATACAATTACTGCAAAATGCTGCCATACCACATGGTGTGGTGGTTTTGTAATTCTTGCCCATCTGCTATACCGGAGGGTGCCGTGCGACACTCGCAGTACCAGGTTGAGCAGTAGTCAGAGGTCCGACCAACGCAGTCTCCTGGTCCTCCAGGTTGAGGAACATGTGTCTTGACTCGTTCTTAAAAGAAGTAGTACACTGGCCTTTCCGGTCAAATATCGCATACTTGAGGCCGGGCTTTTGAGCTAAAATCTTTTGATCTAGGGCTTTAATCGTCCTTCCGATTATGTTTGGATGCCCCGACAGCCGCGTGTAACCTTGATGCCTTCAGCTAAGAATACTGCCACGCCACATCGTTTGTCATCAGCCGGGTTGTCTTACTTGATACGGAAGATCGGCTAAGCGAAACCAGGTTACTGCTGACGCCTTTCTCTTTCACATACTTTTTACACCCTCCCCTCCCTATGCCCCATCACCAACTCTCATTGTAGACTCATCCGTTAGGATGACATCCCTGTTCGTCTTACATCGGTTCTGGCCGCAACATCTGCTCATCAGGTGAAGCTGACAGTTTCAGGCACCTCGAGATCAATCTTCAAGCCTCGACGCCCCGTCTATCTGACTGCTTTCAATGTCCGCACTCTGAAGCAAGCAGGACAACAAGCGGCTCTTGGTCTCATACCGGACTCGCTTGACACTGATATGTACCGTGTAGCAGAAATAGGAATTCAAGATGCAAGCACAGTGGTTTAGTTGACTCCCCCATCACTCCACTCGCTTTCCTCTACGCACCTCTGGTGATCCAGAGGACACTGGCAGGATGTACAGGGGTTGGTATCCTCTAAAGTCACCGGGTGAAAGGATCCTTGCTTGACTGGATACCGGTTGATATGGCTCATTGGTTAGAGCGCAAATTAACTGAAGGTCTGTGGTTCGAACCTGACCTCTGCCTCTCGACTTCTCTGTCTAGGCTTGGGCAGCCTTGCAGTATCCGAGCCCCTCATTGCTCAAGTGTGGGAGGTGAGGCCTACAGTCGGTGTTCGTCTGGCTTATTTGCCTGAATCTGGGAAAGGGTGATTACCACAGACAACTGGGGAAAATTGGTGAAAACGCTCATTTTCAAGAGGGTCTGTAGTAGTGCGGTAGTCGCAGGAGGTTTATTTTGATTCCCGTCGTAGGAAAAATTGGGGTTCATTTTCATCCGTCACCTTATGGTGACCAACGAGCCAGCTCTGGACCCTAGCAGACCGCTTAGGCATCAGTTGTCGACGGCCAGTATTGATCGGTGTCTACTGCTGATTAGTGATTAATGTTGACTCCAACAATGTATTTGCACACTGACGCAATTAATTGAGATATCCAGGTTCAAAAACTGCACACCTCATTTGGCCCTTGAGAAGCTCATAGGCCTCAGACCCAGACGAATACATCAGAGCTTCCTTATCCAATGCCCATCTACTGACCGGAATTTCGGACGTTCACTGTGATTCCTGGATTCACGCGTCAGTTGTGTGAGCTACTACCTACAAATTCTAGCTATCCACTCCTACCTTCCCAATCTATCGGCGAACAAAATTGTAACTGTAACCATTACAGCGTGTATACGGTTTACAGCTGAAGATGACAGATGGCGACGGTCTCGTAACATACCTCTCGCAATTCTAAGAGTACCGAAGACTGAGTAATTTTATATACCTGGTCGTTACAGTAGCTTTGACGAAATTACCTGGTGAAGTCATCATTGTTGTTGTTAGACGTAGACATCATGGTTGTACATGGGCTGGGATACTGCCATAGCACCCACACCTAGACAGGAGGACGATTTGGGTCCTCAACCAAAGCCTTTGGCTCAATAGCCTAAAAACAAGGCAACGGTGTCTGGCGAGAAATTCAAACGCATTACCGTTTCTACGGAATAGGTCGCAACGTGTTTCAACCCCCAATCTGGAGGACCAAGAGACTGTTCGTCAGACTTCTAACCACTGACCAACCTCGTGAGACTCTGTGAGTGTCGCACGGACCACCCTCCACCCCCAATATGGCTCAATGGGTCGCTGAGTTGCAAACCGTCACACCTCGGGAATAGAGTCAGTGCACGTTCACCCAACTGTGGCGTCCAAAAGGCATATTTTTGAGTCTCGAGCTGCGTGCACAAAGCTACAGTATGATTGTGTATACAGCTGGATATGCGGTCTGCGTTATATCGAGGTTTTTGACCAATATCTCAGGAACGGTGCTGGTGTTGAATGTCGCTAATGGATTCTCGATGGCTTAAGGAGATCGCAAGTGTTTGCTGGTGCATCAGGTGCTTCACTCGCGGAGAGCCTCCTGCACCACTAGCTACGACAGCTCAGGCATGCTCTGCACATGCCAAATAATCGTCCATCAAAAGGAGTATTGTGCTCCCTACCTTTAAAGTGACGGGGATTCTGGAGTAGCCAACATGTGGCTTAGCTGGTGAATGTGTGGGCAGTTACGGAGAGTTTGAGTGCAGTCGTTGCGAATAAGGTCCGCCTGAACCTTCCTTCAATCGACTGAGAAAACTAAGATGTGGCGGACAGCCGATATAAATGGTGTTCACGCTGTCAAACTGCTTCTAGATTTCCTGGTTGACTGAAGGTATAAGCGTTTCAGAAGGGGGATGTGCTAAACCGGATCCCTGTTCACTCCTTTTCCACCTTCGAGCTATGTAATTATTGTGTTTGTGGCAGTAGGGCATAATTATCACCATTAACATTAGTGTCAATGTCGACGATCAGCACGAGCTCTTATGAAGTCGGACAACCGGACGACATAGTAGTAGCCGTTTACGGATGTCGAATCGACCAAGGGAGTCTCATTTGGTGGACTAACGCCCATACCAACACCTATGCAGTCAATTGTAGCTGCTATAAAATCACCCGTAACTCGTAGTAGATAACTTTGGTGATGTAAGTATTACATAGGGATCTCTTACTCGATTTTAAGTGCACCAAATTTCAACCGATAAAGTATGCCTTGTGTTAAGGATCCTGTTTGAGTTAGATCCCTCATTTGAGAGTCTGCGAAGAAGGTAGGAGAACAAGGTGTGAGTAGTGGGCGCGAACCGGCGGTCTGAACTGTTACGTACAGTCGGTCACTTCTGGCACCTGATTGACATTCCTACAAGTGGAACCCACAGAGCGGTGCTGGTGTAGCGGGAGTGGGTTGAGAGATTAAAATTAACATAGATAGCAGTCACATGTTACTTATCTGCTCAGCATGTAGAAAATAGGACAATCCGATTGGCTTATATTCTGTGGTTATGTGGTATTGCAAGTATGCCAAAACATAGACGATGAACGCACTACAACCAAATCTTTGGTTCAAATACTTGACCGCAAGACAGAGTAGTCGAGGTCGCTCAGCGGTTAAGGCGTAAATTTGCTGACCGGGAGGCCGTGATTCGAGCCCAACCTGGGCACTGTGTAGTCTTGGGCATCCTGACTATCTCAGCCTTTTGTGCTTCCCTGGAGTAGCATGGCAGGTAGGCACCGAAAGGGCATTACGGCTGACTTACTCACGTGTTCCGTATGCTGGTTGACTGATTCCCTCAAGGAGCCCTTTTCACACAACCACGCGAAGGGTGGAAACGAGCCAAGGGAGGTCAAACAATGAACGTACGAAAGCCGTTACCAGCAAATTCAGCTGCGCTGATCATTGGTGTCTCGGATGGGAACCCCGACCCGGAATACATCAATGATTAGAGAAATTGTCAGACCCTCAATGGCGCTCGTGCATTTGAAATATTGCCTTCAGTGCGTTGGTCCCCTCCCGATCTCTTCAACGAAAAGCTTATCGATACCCCTGTATTTACGCATCAATTATATCAGCTACCGCCTCCTAGTGCGTACCTGTCTACCCCATTTTTCTAATTATTGGTGAACGAAACCGTGTCAACATAACCACTGTATCGCAAGCACGCGGTCTCGCTAATGATGATTTGAGGCGGGAATGTTGAGTTTAACCATTATCGCGTGCAAACAGCGACACTTGAGAATGCCAACTGGTGGTCGAAACTAGTCTACTTGCCCCATATGGGTGCAACAGGCCTATAAATCGAGTGCTACCCTGCTACACCTACATCAGCTTTTGACGAAGAGTGTACATTAAGTCTGTTCATGTGGAGTTCATCTCGCTCAAGTGGCCAGCTCTGTTCGATCCTTTTGAACTCCCGTCAAGGAACTTTGAAATCGGTTTTCACGTTGCCGGTAATAGTACCTAAAGGGCTTTTGCCCCCATGTTAATTTTCATATGTAAAACTGTAAGTGGGCTTTTATATTGAGGTGTAATTAGAATAACGTTCCAACTTCCACAGGACACAGTTCTTTGATTCGACCGCTTCTCAGCGATCTCACCAGCCGCCTTAGGGGCATATTGTATAAGCGAGGGACCTGCCCTCGCAGTGTTTAATATTTCCACTGGTGGGGAACTGTTAATTGCCACAGAGTTGATAGGATTGGGGACGAAACATCCCATTAACAGGCCAGCAGGCAGTGTTAAAACGGATAAATATGAGGACTGGGTCCGGCTGCGACACTCGCCTTTTTAGGGGGTCTTTGAACTTGCTTCAGGTAAACTGTATCAGATGTAACAATCCTTTGAATTAGTGGACTGGAAAATCTCAACATTCAACGTGGTTATCCTTTCAGTTGATCATGCGCTCTTCTGGCTGAAATGCTCCTCAACATCATGTCAGTCCAGATTTTAAACCGAAAATTTTGCTTTGTTTTGGCATTAGTTTTGCAATTTCAGGGCACGTTTAAACATCTCCCATCACGCAGCTGTACAATAAACCGTCCTTTTTGAAAACCTACGTTCGGTATCTTTTTCATTATCATCCCACAGGTCGTTACCTTGTGGTATCGTGCACCCGAAATTTTACTCGGAGCCCAACGCTACTCGTGTGCAGTAGATATATGGTCGATGGGTTGCATCTTTTCAGAAGTTGCTACAAAGGAAGCGTTGTTCAGAGGTGACTCTGAAATCGACCAGTTGTTTCGGATTTTCCGTCTACTCGGGACCCCTTCTGAAGACGTCTGGCCGGGCGTAACCAACTTACCTGACTACAAAAAGAAAGGCTTTCCGTTGTGGAGAGAGTCCAAGCTGACGACGAATGAGAATATCACAAAGGCTTTCAATGATCTTGGTTTGTCTTTGCTTCAGGTAGGTTGTCATTTTAGCAAATGTCCGCGCCGTGCTTCTACAGGCAGCACGAAGCTGTGCGTACGTATCTTTGCCAATGATGAGATTTATGTTTACGGTAGTGAAAAACCGATGCAATCCTGCGAGAGCTTGTAGGAAGCGCGGGAAGGGGACAAGATACCTCAGTGGTTAGAGTACGAATTTACCGACCGGAATTTCCGTGATTCGAGCCCGACCTTAGCCTCTCGACTTCCCCTGTCTGGGCTTGGGTAGCCTTGCAGTCCCAGCCCTCATGCTTCCTTCCGGTGGTATGGCTGTTAGGCACCGAAAGGGTGTTACCGCTAAACGATTTTTCGTTATTGTAGGAAGCGGCAACTCATAGTATCTGGGAGGTTTTGCATGCGATTTTCATCGATGCCATGTAGATTCTACACACTTTCACTCCGGCTGATGCCCTATATGTTGTTCACTTGTGTGTGTTTGATCCACGAAGAAAGAATAGCTAGTGGTCCATCGCGTCTGCTTATGTGACCATTTTTCGCACATTTGGAATCGAATCCTCCTGTTATTTCCTGATGATTAGTGTATTGGTTATTGCTTGGTCGATCGTTGATTATTGGTTGACGGTTGCTAATTGATTGACGACTGATTTGATGATTGGGTGTCATACTGTCAACATTATTGATGGAAGAATTGAGTGTAATAAGTTCCCTAACCCAAATGAATTTCTCTGCGTTCTATTTTAAAGTAGGTTTATGCAATTTATTCCTTTCTCATCAACTCTATTTGTTGAATTGCTGAATTACTCCAAATGTCTTTCTGTGCGGCGTTGATTCCCAACTTTGGATTTCAGGTTTCGAACACACTGCTCCTCTACAGAGTGACCATTCTTGGTGAACAACAACATCGATCAATAGATGGGGTGCTTTTTATGAGCACAGACCGATAATCTTCCTAATTTCAATTTTTTTATGGATATGGCTGTTTTTTATCCGAGTGATCAGTTACTTAACGATTTGTTGAGTCTTAGTTTTAAACGTTCAATCGCGAGGAAATTGCTTTGAACGTGCCACCAAATGAGTGACTGTTAATTTGCTAGTGATTTTTCACTTGCAAGACATTTTTTCGCCTTAATCGCTCTCATTGTCTTGAGGTGACGTCAAACTTGAACCCTCAACAATTTACGGATAATCTTAAGATTTGGAGGTAAGTTTATCATTTAAGCTCATGTGATGTTCCTAAAAGCTTTGTTTAGCTGAAGACTAAGGTCACTGCCAGGTTTTTAGCCCGTGGCGTGAATTAGTGACAGTTTGTATGTACGCCTGTTACCTTATGGTTGCTTGAACGTGAAAGCTCCACTTGCGCGTAAGGAAACTCAACGCAGCCATTGATCTGTTCGCCAAGGTGATCACTTTGGTTGCATGCATGCCCCATGTTTCCGTTGGCACGGCATTCTAGATGAGGCGCTCTGCGCAGCACATTCATTGGAAGTATATCATAAATGAGAGATTTGGCTGGGATTGAGTCTCCCGTTAAAAACAAATTAGTGTATTTCGCGAATGGCGTCTAATTTGCTTTCAAGTATAACAATGTCGACTTAGGGGAAACTCGGGTACTGCGCCTACCTGATGGGTCTAATCGAGGACGAAGCCGGTCGTGGGCTGTCGGAGAGCTTCCAACAATCTTCTAAGTTTTGTTCTCTCAAGTACTGAGTACTTTCACTATGTAACTTGGGAGTCATGGACTCAAATCCGTATAAACTGGTTGTCAGCAGTCTATTTCCTTATTTTCCTCTTTCAGGCAATGCTCATTTACGAACCATCTCGCCGAATAACTGCCAGGGATGCTCTCCTTCATCCCTACTTCGCGGATTTAGATAAGTCAACTGTTCCTGCCACGGGTGAAGAGTATATTGGTCTTCCTTTAGACCAGTTACCTCATGAGGTTGCTGCGATGTTCTTAGCAGATGCTGGAGAGGCTTATAGGACGGAATCGGATCGGGAAAACGCCGGCCGACAGCTTGGGGTTCTCCCAAGCACCGTTGAACTGGGTGCAGATTCATTGCCAACATCGAAATTTCTCAGTACAACTCAGAAAGGGCAACACACTTCTATGGACACCACCTCACAACCTACTGTTCCGTTAGCAGACAGCCATGAAGTTAACATGTCGATTGCCTAACATTGTCTGCTGGTCTTTATTCTCTTCAGCAACCCCGCCCGGTGCCTGTCCCGTGTAAAGAACGTATTTTGTAACGGACACCAGTTTTTCAGACCGAACCATTATTTTGTGCTCACTGATTTTTGTATAAATCGGTAAAAGACGAGAACGAGCACTATTTCACTATGTTGCACGCGTCAATGCAGACACTATTGTTGCTGTCCAGGAAATTAGTGCTTGCTTGTCTGACAAATTTTTCATCCTGTATGGCGTGTTTGTTATGGTACTCGTATATGACTCCGTATTTATCTACCATTGGCTTTTCAGGTGTAATGACCAACGTCTAGAAGACTGTTGTTCCCCCCATTCCCAATCCACTATTCGACTCAGCATAAAGTTTTCGCTTCCCCGATCACCATTGAATACCTTGAGATGGTGAATTGGACCACTTCGGGGCTCTAATTGGGTTGTATCGTTTGTGTCATCTGGGGGGTCGTAATGTTTCTTCAGAATCCTTGTCTACATGGTTGCTCAAAGTGCAATGGGTGCGCAAATTTCCTCGGTGACTATTCCTGTGACTTCTGACCTCCATAACTTCCGAGTCAACGTTATGTCCAACTTTCCTAAAGCTAATGTTGAAGTGCCACGTCACCATCCCGCACTTCATGTACTGCGCCGTGTCTTGACTTTATTGCTTGCCCCCTCATCGGCACGAATCGCGTGTTACATTTCTTCATTCCCGTTGGTTTCCTGTCGAGAAGCAAGTGGGTTTCAAATCTGGAGGAACTTCTGCGATGTCCGCCAATGCAACTTGTGTGCGCTCAGCTAATCGTACTTTCTAACCCAACTTCGTCAACCGGAGACCAAACATTTTTAGAATTTGTCGACTGTGGTTACATACTATGCACCGGGAACTGTTGGGCTTCATAATGGATACTAGATTTTAGAAAATTCTTGTTTCCGGAGTAGTCTCGTCACCAGAATCGTCACCAAAAAGGCCGCAGATGGTACGTGTTGAGTATGTCGCGACTAAGTTATCCGAAAGGAATTCTATACAGATGAACCCAGCTATTTGATTGTTGTTTGAATCAGGTCTCTCAAACCGGTCGCAAACGCCACAATGCATTCAGTACATGTTGTGACTGCTGAACGGTCATGAAACTCTGTCGGTTCTTGGCTTCCTGCTCCGTCCACTATGGTGTACCAAAAGGCACGGTAGCTTCAGACATACCCTCATAAAGACAAAGTAAGATCATTACAATTGTATTTATAGGGTAACCACAGAATGTTCCACGATGTCGTGCTAGAATCTCCGTCAAGGGGCGAGAGGCGTCGATCTAAAGATGTGCGATACAGATTGGCTGGCATTCTGACTAATCAGAGCATGCCTTCGTTTGGTCTGTAGCCCGCACTTGACCCATCCGTCCAGGTGACGTGCTGTTCGGTTATTACGGGCGGCTGGCCTCGACATTTAAGCCCGATCCTTGACTCATTATTCGATGGCATTGGATCTCTGCCGGTTATTCGGTCTTGAGGGGTCGAACAAGCGTAACGTCTGGTCCTGTGGTCAAAGGATCGAACATTTAAACGGCTAATGGCCACTGGTGCGCACGCGTCCACTCACTAAAAGTAGCGGTTAGTCGAATGCCAACTCTGACTATGCCGTCCGGTATTCAATAGCTCGGCAGTTTGTTCAGTATGTTTCTTGGTGATTCGACCTGCGGTAAGTCAAGCGAATTCAGTTGTTTCGCAGGGTTGCTGTTGTATGGTGAGATTCCCTGCTTTGAGCAACCGCAAAATGGCCTCTCGTCAGTACTACACACAACTGTGCATATGTATTTCGAATAAGGAAATAACTGGATACTCACAGTAAGTACGGAAACAGAAAATAACTTACAAATGTGTCACAATAGAATTCGCCACCAAGTTTCACGAACCGCTTATGAAAGTGAAACCACGGGTTTTAATGTGCTTTGCATCCCTACCTATCCACGATCTATTCGCAATATGATGTTCCGGTAAAAGCCAGGACTGGAAAGCGCGTGAATGTAGTTAGATTAGGTAAATTACTGTAACCTACCGTAAGACGGGAACTAATTACAACTTTGGTGGCGGATGCAAGAAACTGCGGTAGTTATAGTGAGAAATAAATTATGCAGAGTTTGTCATTGCATGTCAGTTTTCTACCAGGTCTCCCAACGACAAGGTCTGCTGTTTCGGTCAATCTTGGACAGTTGTTCGGGCACTGAAATTCCTCAGTACATCCTACTGCTGCTTGAGATCTGTTGACATAAGTAGGGCTTTCGTTCATTTTCTCAATGATCACATGTTCATCGGTCGTCCCAGTATTCTAATCGATACCAGTACTTTGACTTATAGTCAGCAGGGAAATATGTGTACAACAGCATCACGCACGAAGCGACTTCGTCCGTGATTGGCCTGCTGGTAAAGGTTTCAAACTGTCTATGCTATTTCCAGCCACAACACTTCATCCAGTGTTTGCTTACGAAAGTGTGATCAGCAGCATTTAGAACGGTGCTCGCCGGCTACACGACTAAATTTGATAAAATCTGGAACAGTGTTTGCGAGATTCTGCCTTGTTTGTAGGAACTAGCTGGGATGGTGAGTGGAACACACACTGCTTGACTTTTGTTGTTGGCCTATTTACAGTCCTCACCGAAAGTGAGATCCGGTTGCAATATGTGCTTTAGGAAATCTCGATTGTTAGAACAGCAGAAGTCAGGTGAGCCAGTTGAAGCTCCGTCGCGTTTCGGAGGTGATTTCATCCATCGTGGTAAAGCGCCTTGTTAGAGAGTACTGTACCACCATAGGCGACAACCCTCAAGCAAGAAATGCAACAGTAACTCGTTGGGCCGTTTCCGCGCTTCCCTTATCAGTTGTAAAATCTAGAGGCGGACGATCCTCTGTTTCATGAATGTGTTGGGCTAAGTACACATCTACATTGGAAACCTCAAACCTGCTACAGAAACTTATCGGTATAAAAAATTCAACGGCCATTCTTAAGTTAGTCGGGTTTAGAATAAAACGCATTATGCTACCGTGGATGTTTCTGGTCGTTTCGCCACCTTGACAACAGACGGATTAGGAGCCCTAAACCACGCATTCATACCGAGATATTATCTTTGCGAGGCCGGTGGGTACTGTCCGTAGAACTGTATGCAGTATGTTTATATCGTTCACAGGCTGGTTGGTTAAAACATGAACGCCATTCGCTTCGTTACACTCCGGCGACCAACTGCCCATTTGAGGACTCAAACGATTTCAACTCAAAGTTTTGGTTTTTCTCCAGGCAGGTTGATTTCAGCAGCCCTGGAAATAAAGCTTTCGAGTATTTCTTTGTTCTACTGAGAGTAAGAGACTTCACTCTGTAAGAGAAGTCAGTCTATGCCGAAAAACGGAAGCACGGTAGGGTTGCGATTCATCCACAGTGCGCATCACACGGAGCTCCAGGGGGATCCGAAACTCTGACTGGCATGTAATTAATAGAAAAACTATCCTGCTCACAAAGAATAAGTTACGCGATGAATGAGTCCTCCATCTCGAAAATCGTCGCTCGAGCTGCCAGCCAATACGTGATGTGAGTCCCACGATTGAAGGTTCAGTGGTGCTATGTTTTGTCCAATAATCGCGTGTGGTCTTAGTCTTCAGCTACGAGCGCGTTGGAATCGCCCTGCAGACTCGCTAGGTGCGCAATGCCTGATGACTCAAAATACGGATGAAACAGCCGCACAGTGTTCAGGTTTTCGGCATATATTGGCTTCCTCTATAGAGCGAAAGTTCGGCTGAACTATTTCTATGTCCTGTGATTGTTGCGATCAGCTTCACGGTACGCAGCATGTGGCAGCTATTTGAGTGTCACCATACAAACAACAGGCGTTCGCTACTTCAAGCCACCGGGTTTGGTTGCCGGTCTTTCAGTCGACATTTGGGGACTAGGGCTTGGAGACAACTCACGAAATGTACTCCACTGCGATTCGACCATACGAACTAACTTTTTCATCAAAAAGCGTCACGTGAAAGCATTGACCCTGCCCCGATCGACTAGTCACACTTCTTAATCAACCACAGTTGAGCGACTCAAGCAACCTCCCACTTTTTCACCGTACGTTTTACCATCTGTTTTTATGCAAGTATTTTAACCGTGTATTCCATTTATAACTATTTGCCAAACGAGAACGTCGAAAACAATTGTTCGCGCTATCCTGCATTGCACGATGTTTTATTTCATTAGCTCATTACGATACACCTAACCACGAGCTCATCACAATTGGTTGCTCAAGGATGGAGCTCAAAATACTTGTCTTGCTGCACCAAGATCCTTTCGTGCTGCTTACAGCTTGCACTTTAGTGGAAGGATACCTATTCTACCACGTTTTCGGTACTTTATCTTTCAGTTTTCGGCATACACAACATGACGCTACAGCGGGTTCATACTCTGGAATTGAGCACTGGCTCGGAATCGTCCTTCTGCTGGTTTTAACGCAGTTGAAATTTTGAATAAGGGTGCGGTTTTCATTTACGGTCACTTCTTGGTGTGGTACTTCAGTTGTTCACAATGGAGTTAAGATTCAGACTGAGCTACCTAACCCACCAATCTGATGACGTACAACTAAATGCGTGAATGGCGATGACATCCGAAGGACTATCTATGAAAAATCGCTCCACGAATCATCACAGGGATGCCATGTTGTTCTTAGTAGCTGTAAACATTTCCTGAGGTCTTGTCAGTAGCATATTAAACCGTCTGGACCGTGCGTATGGAGCTTTTCTTCGACCAACACTGTTGATTCCAGGTATTGTTTACTCTTAGCACCAGCGATACGGACTCAACCGTTTTTCGTACTAATCTCATTCATTACTACAATCGGTAAAGATGTAAGGATCATATTTGTTGTATCGGATAGAATGTATATGGTATTCGGGATTTCCTTGGGTTAAGCATTGCGAGTGAAAAATAAAGCAGGATACCACAACATGAGTTTTCATCGGTTAAACCACAGGACCTAACACCTAAGGGGTGTCTCCAGGCTCCTCAAGCATCACACTAGCCCACCACTCAGCGTATCTAAATGAACTCCGCAAGCTTAAAATATTAGTTGCAGAATGCTATGGTTGGTGTGCAGCTTCACTCATCAGACACTCCCTAGACACAAAACGCCCGGGCCCTATCGTTGTGTGAATGTCTGTGTCCGTGACCCATTGAGCTATACTGGGTGATATCCGTGCGACACCGCTGCCTCGCGCTCAGGCTTTTGAGACAAATGCTTTGGTCGAGAACAGTCTGTCTGGGTGCCCTTACGGTATCCCAGCCTACGTACAACTATGACACAAATAACGGTACCCTCATACCACATCTGTCGTCACATGGTGTCATCTTGCTTGCTGTATACAACAGGGCGTGAGCGAAAACGTGCTACTGCTGATACCTTACGCTTTCACTTATTCCGTTTACCCCACCTAACCCCGCGAGTCCTAGCACTAGGTCTAACTGCTTTGTTTGCCGTTCGTCACACTCAGTTTCAGCTTCGACTTCAATGATAGCACTAAACACTTCGAAGTCCGTTTTCAAACCCCGAAAGCCAATCCACTTAGCTGCCTCTAGTGTTCACACAATTAAGCAAGCATGACAACAAGTGGCTGTTGCTCGTACGCTGGACTGCGGGACTTGCAGAATGTTCACCCGTGTCACACTCAGCTGGGTACTTCTGTTCCGATGGAATTGCCCTCTATAGGTGGAATAGTTGACCCGAGTCAACATAGCCAAAATTGTTACTTGGTCTTCATTCGGACCGGCCTGTTAACCATTCACACGTTCATCCGTTTAGCAGTGAAAACAAGTACGTCTATTGTGCGCTATTCGTTGTAACTGAAGAAATCGCCTTCACATGAGTGGTCCGGAAACCAAATCCCAGTGCATCATTGGTCGTTTTAATGAACCCACCGTCATTTCCTATATGTGGTGGCTGTGGGAAATAAGTTTTTATTGGCCGAAACCGACAACACCAAATAACAATAAAACTTCTAAACAATTCTGACCAGATGATACCCGATAATGTGACGGTGTGTGCGAAAGGACAACATTCATGATGGTTTTGTGTTTCACTTTGGCATGGAGTTACTTTTCTTCGGTTTTTGTTTGTTTGACCTGAGGAGATAGAGGAGGAAGGGCGCGAATATAATACACTAGAAATTAAACTAAACTGCCCCTAAAGTACCCACAAACATCCTCGATCGTGCTCACCTAAGGAACTGGCATGTGGTATTCTTGATCATCCCTTTTGGTTAAGTCCACTTACATACTTATCCAGTGTAGCTACATGCTTTAGAATAGTACCTTAGCGGTACAGTTGTTTCTTTTATCTCAGTGCAGCACCAGGATTCTACTCTATCTATATAGCATTTTTCAGTTCTAGGTGACCACTCGGACTAAGACACACCAGACCCAGTCATCCTCGCTATAAGAACTCGAAAAATCAGGCTGACGAGGTAGCTGATACAAGAGTCGCTTAAATATTTAGGGGGCACTTTTCTGTTCCCCTAGTGTGGCGTAAGACACTCTGAGATGAATCCCCGCTGCATCTCCTTCGCAGTACAGTCTTTAAATTGGTTGGACTTTGGTGTCAGTAATATACTGGCAGTTCATCAGGTGATCCTATAGGTGTTGTTCAACCAATTCATGGGCCCACATGTCTACATTGTATGATAACACATCAAACACTGATAAGGAATTAAAAGACTGTACATTTATCCTTCAGAGTAAAGCCATAAGTCCCATAAAAAAGTCTTCGTAGATAACACTGTTTCACTCACCATGTTGCCCATCATTTCCATTAGGTTCTTCCGGTGTGCCCTCTTAGCAAGCTCCACTTGCTCCAGCACAGCCAACAGCTCATCACTGTGTGACAAGAGTTCAAGAAGGGACGCTTCAAGTGCTTCAACACGCTCTACCAGTTCAACAAAGTCATCCGGGTCAACGTACTTGACAGAATATGTGGACGAAGAAATAGAAATGAAGCGAGAAATCTACATTAGTACTTCACTTAATATTGGGAACATTACTGCTTAATCAATAAAGAAGTGGGTTGGTCAATATGGTCTTGGGGAAGTGAGCTTCTGAGACCAACCAAAACACCGAAAGTGTGCGGTTTTTTTTAGGACCGGGCGAGTTAGCCAAATTGGTTAGAGCACGAATTTACTGACCGGAAGGTCCGTGGTTCGAACCCGACCTCTGCCTCTCGACTTCCCCTGTCTCGGCTTGGGCAACCTGGCAGTATCCCAGCCCTCGTGCTTCCTTCGGATCATCAATGCTGAAGCACGTCGAATGGCATTCGGGAGAAATAACCCACCCTCGATAGATGAACTGATCACACTGCACAGGTTACGCTGGCTTGGCCGCGTGCTGCGTATGCCAGTCGACTGACTTCCTTGAAGGGCTCTTTTCGCCCAACCATGTGAAGGGTGAAAGAGAGCCAGAGGCGGCCAAACAATGACTTGGCAGCGAAGTGTGAAAGCTATTATCAGCAAACTCAGCCGCGCTGGTCACTGTCGTCTTCCTGGATGGGGACCGAGAGACGGGCCACATCAATGGCTAGTGACATTATCAGACATGGCCCAGTCGCGCCCTCAATGACGCTCGTGCATCAAAGTTGTTGCCTTCAATGCATAGCTTACTTTCTGATCTGCTCAGTGAAAATCCCACTGTCACTTGGATTCACGCATCAATTATATCACCTCCCGCCTCCGATGCGTAACTATTCACGCCCGTTTCCCCAGGTCATCGGAAAACGAAACTATGGCAGCTGTGACCTCTTTACAGCATGTGCGCAGTTTTTACAACTGATGGTGGTGCGGTGTTCTTATCACTGGTACGTTGGCAACGTTGCACATAAAGTTCGATGCCTGGGTACATAACGCCTGTTAATTGATTAGACACCGAGGAAGTTTATTCATTCGAATTTTTCATCCCCTCTGTTGACCTCACCAGGAGCCCTCTATAACGCTATGATTTTCATGGTCATAGATCACGTACTCTAGCCAAAGGTCTGTCTAGTTCATCTTGCTGGATCGTTTTCATGTTTATCTCATCATTTCCAACGCCTACACTTGATATCCCATTTCGTAAAATAGTCATTGTTTTGATCAATCGGTCTGTCTGTTCCTCTCTCGCAGACATGGCGTGCTAAGTTCAGGGCTATCCAACAGCAGCGAATTAAAACTGATGATATCGATCAAGTTTTGGAGTCTACGGCAGCGAGCCAAAAAGCCGACCAACTCACAGCCGCCACCGGAGCTGCCGCTTTGGCTCGCGGTCCACGACCCGGTCTGGCTGGAGAACAACAAACAATCATTCGGATTGATGACACAACCCACGTCCAGCCGTTCACAGATGGATCCATACCGAGGACCGCCTTGGCTGCGGACGAAGTCGCCGTGCGACCAATTATAGCTCGGGAGCGGCGATGGCGTACCCGGGTAACCGTACTCCAAAGTCAAGGAAAGACCTTTTATGAGAATATCGTCCTTGGTATTTTGCGGAATGTGATTGTAAGTTTCTGGCTTGCTTGAGTGTGTCAACTCTCTCTCGGTCTTGTAAATCTGTTTAGGCTATAGACCTGTGGCTGTGTCAAACCATGGACCTTCGGGTCAGTGGGTTCGCCCTTCAACCACTGAGCTGTCTCGAGATCACATGCTTTTGTGCGCATCTGAAGGTGTCGATGACAACAGTTTCCACGAGCGGGGAAGCGTGTGCTTATACGTTTTTGTACAGCTCGTGTGGGTT